GGGGGGGAGGGCAGAGGGCCGGCGCTCCTGAGTTCTCTGTCCCGGGCCCTGGAAGGACCGGCGTGTCTCCCTGAGAATCTGTGGGCGCTCGGGGCAGCTCCCCAGTCAGGTGTCTCCGGTTTGACTCCGTCCCGCCTCCCCCAGCCTCCAGGCCCGCCTCCCCCAGCCTCCAGGCCCGGGGCGGGAGGGCGGAGCTGGGTTCCTCCGAGGGCAGTGGGCGGCCTCCCAGCTTGGCTCCAAACGCAGCGAGGCCCCTCCGCAACTCCGAAGGCCCCCGGCCTCCCAGCGCACGCCTGGCACCTGCCGCTCCAGGCGGCCCCGCCGAGCTGTCCCGGGTCCCCCGGCCAGGCAGCGTCTTCCGGGGAGAGCTCAGCCGAGGCCGCGTGGAAGACAGCCCGGGGCCCAGGCCTGCCCAGCCCCGCAGCCGCCTTCCCTGCGTCCTCTCCCCCTTCCCCCTGTCCCCTCCCCCTTCCCTATGGCCTCTCCCCTTTTCCCGTGTCCCCTCCCCCTTCCCCGCATCCCCTCCCCCTTTCCCTCTCAACCACGAAACTGGCCTGTCAGACCGCTTCCCCCAGTCGTGGAAGCGCCGTCCAGTAAACGTTTGATACAACTTGCCTGCATCTAATGACTCTGGGAAAGCTTTCCAAGTAGAGAACGCTGGGAACGCCGTGCCACGATGTCTTTGTGACTCGGCTCCCAGACTACAAGGCTTCCAACGGGAAAAGTCAGGACAAATAAACCTTGCTTTACACCGTAACACATTCCTGAAGAATCCCAGATAGTTTGCTGATTTATATCCCGCCTTATTCCGGGAAAACAGAAAACAAAACCCACAGCATACAGCAAGGTGGCAAATTGGAAAGAAAACATAAAATAGAACCGGGAGGGGAGAGAGAGGTAAAGACAGTGTGGACACCATAAAAATCCTACAGGCTTGCTATGAGTAAGGCTCTGGCTGTCAGTTTTCCAGCAGCTAATATGAAAAGAGAAATTTGATTAGTCACACAAGGAATCATGTATAAACTGAACTTTGGAAAATTGAATCATATTTCAAATACATTAGTGGAAAGCTCTATTAAATAAAACATTTGTAGCGGACATCTGGTTTTGCTTTTTGGGTTTTTGTTTTTGGTTTGTTCAGTTTTGTTTTTGTCCACTCAGCAGTCCTCCCTCCGCAGAACCGGCCCTTCCTGATTTGGTGTGATTTGGTGAGATTGCAGTGAGCTATCAGTCACTGAGTCCCACCCTCTTACAGGGGCAGACTTTGGACCCAAGTTGTGGATAAAATGAAAGTTCCTGTGGCCAGGATTCTCACCTGATCCTGGTTGGCTCGCTCACTACACACGTGTGGGCAATACGTTGCTATTGACTCTATACAAAGGGCTCCGTCCAGTGTTCTGGGCGACATGGTGGCAGGGCTGCAAGGCTGCAGGAGAGCAGAGCAGAGGCTGGAGTGGTGGCAGCACCGAGGACAGAGGCCCAGAGGTCGACTGTGTGGACAGAGGGCCCCAGAGGACAGCCTTGTGCGCAGAGAGGCCCAGAGGCAGAGGCCAGCTTGCTGCATGCAGACTCGCTCTGAGTGGATGGGATTTTAGTGATTGACCTGCCACTGTGGAAATAAAGTTGGATATAAGGCTTTCACCTCAAGAAGGTTCTACTGTCATTTCTTCGGTCACATTGAATACATAGTGAACTTGCCTGGGGCAGAAACCCATTGGCAAGAAACAAGTTCACTAATCAGACCCTCTTCTAGAAATTTGCATCTTGAATGGAGATACCTGGGGGCTGCGGTGGGCCAAGTAGAGGTTGCCATGAGGGTATCTTCAAAAGACACTTCACAATGTCCTGCTAGCCAGAGCTGGCCTGGTGCAGTCAGTCCTTCCCGTAACTGCTTTTAGGTTAAGCTAATAGAAGTCTGTAGCTTACGACCAAGGATTGCTAAATATGTGAAGCTAACAAGTTCATATGGAATATGAGGATGCTCTCAAAAAGCAAATATTCATCCTGAGTTGCCTTGTTGAAAAGTTGCAATCCAAGACCTTTTATTGGTGCCTGTTGGTGATTTCATGAGAGTGTGTGTGTAGGGGCGGATGTCACAGTTGCTGTGGGTGTGTGTGGGCGGCCATGGAAAGCTCTGTGATCGGGAGGGTCAAGGTCACCCCCCCACCCAGTCAGGGTCAAGCCTTCAGAGCCTGAATGCCACTCATCTGTGCTCAGTAAAAACCCCGGATGGCCATTATTTCCTGCTGTGTGCCTGGCTGAGAAACTGGGCATGATTCTGTGCCTCTTGGTCTCAAGTTGGGAAAGCGGCCCATTGTCCTCAAGGAGACCTGGCAATGTGGGAGGACCTGGACCTTTCCAGGGCTCAGGGATGACCACTGGGGGGAGAGTGTTGGCCCTGGAGGGCGCCCCTCTGAGGGTATCCGGGAGGGAGTCTGCCTCCAGTCTTGACTTCCCTGAGCTTTGGCATGACCATACTCAGTCCACCTGGGCAGTTGAGCTTCGTACTAAGAGTCTGTGGCCAGGGCAACCTTGGGGAAAACACTGTTTGGGAATAACCCCCAGAATTCATAGAGGAGGAAGGCCTGGGACTGTGGCCATGTTCCTGTTTGTCACTGACTTGACCTCGAATTTTGTGTGGCTGAAAGGAATCCCTCCTTCACCCACTTATCATTTGGCAGATCCCTAATGAAGAGGCATTTTGCGCCAGGCCCTATGCTAAGAACAACTGGAGAGCCCCAGGTGACTAAGGAGCAGCCTCTGCCCCGCAGGAGAGGGACGCATTATGGAGCAGGTAAGCCCCGCTCACAGGAAAATACAATGAAGGCAAAAGTGGCTGATGCCGCACACAGTATTCAGAGCTTTAGGTGACCTGTTGGGAGCCTTCATCCATGTGCCTTGTAGTTTGGGGCTCACAGAGGATGAGTGACTGACTTGGGATTGGGAGCCCTGAGGAGGGAGGGGCGCTGGCCAGTTACTTTTCAGCAAAGTAAAGATTTCTTAGTTGGGGGCCAGCCTGTGTTCTCAGGCTTGGTCAGGATGAAAATTTTTTGTGGACCACATGTGGCCATCCGTGGGTCATCTTCGACCCAATCCAAAAAGACAGTTTAGAAGGACAGAAATTTCAGCAGAGTGGTCCTCCGGTGATCCCTCAGGGCTGGGACAGGAGAGACGACCAAGCGCCAGAAGATGCTTCAGTCCATGTAAAAACCTGACGGTTCCAGGGCCATGAGCAAAGCAAGCTTCCTGTGCCTGCAGCGGGCTTCCCGGATCTGGGCGGGGGGCACCCGGGAGGCAGGTGGACCTGCTGTGGGCATCTGCATGCAGTGTGCTGTCCTCGGTGGTGAGGCTGAGCAAGGGCAGTGCAGATGGTGTGGCGAATGTGGAAAACGCTGGGCACCAAGGTCACAGCATCGCCACAAAGCCGACCTGCCAAAAATTTAGAGCCTGAATCTCTTCAAGCCCTTAGATGTAACTTCCAGTTTAAAAGAGCAACAGGGCGTGGGGAGAGGATTAAATGACAGTGAAGGAAGCAATCAGATAAAGCCAGAGGAGAGATTCTGCCAGAAAACCAGCAGTTTCTTCAGCAAAACAATGGTGTGCAAGGGGCAGAGCAGGGGGAAGCATTCCAAACTGAAAGAGATTCAGCAAGAGTTCAGCTCTTAGTAACGCGCCAATATTGGTTCTTAGTTTTGACACATACCAGGATTATGTAAGGTGTTAATATTAAAGGAAACCGGGTAAAGGATATGCAGGAACTCTGTGTACTAGCTTTGCAACTTTTCTGTAAATCTACATTTGTTCTGAGATAAAACATTTATGAGAGAGAGAGAGAGAGAGAGAGAGAGAGAGAGAGAGAGGGAGGGAAAGAATGAATGAGAATGAGGTGTTGGAGACACAAAACTATCGAAGTCAGTGTGTAAACATGGACTGGTCTGGCTCGAAGACCCAAAGGTTTAAGACATTTTGAGACAATTGGGTGTTAGTTGATTTTAAGGATCTAGCTATGTTGAGGTTATGTAGAAAAATGCTCTTCTAAGAGATGCTCTCTGAAGTGTTTGGGTACAATGTCATGATTTTTAAATTTTAAAAATTTCATTTGATTTTAAAATATTTTAACTTAAATATTAACTTAATTTTAATAGAAAATATTTCAGCAAATATTAAGGCAGATGAAGCCAATGTCATGAAACAGTAATGACTGTTAGGTGTTGGTGACAAGTAAGGGAGTACATTACACTTTCTGTACGATTGAAAGTTTTCACAGCTATTGAGTGCCTAGTATTTGCCTTCTGCTTTAGATGTTGTTTCTTTAAGCACCTAAACAGCCACGTAAGACGGAGACATTATTGAGGGCTCAGAGAGGCGCAGTGTTTTGTCTGAGGTCACACAGCCAGAAAGGAGCAGAGCTGGGATTTGTCCCAAGCACCCATTGGCTCCCATTGTGCCTGGTGGGGATGGAAAGTGTCCCAGGAGAGGAGCAAAACAAGGGTCCTCAGCTTATATTCCAAGGGACCAGGAGGTCATCAGGGGAGCCCAGGAGAGGAGCCGGCTGAGGAATCAGGATAAGGACTTGAGCTTTGGGCAGGGACGATTTTTCTTACTTTTACTTGCATTGCCTCACTTGAGCCTCCAGGGACTCCCCACTCCTTGTAGGCAGCATGTGCTCTGAGACAGCCAGGCTCAGGGAGGCGAAGTGACTTACCCAAGGTCACACGAATGCAGCGTGGGGAGCCAGGCTCAGCCCCAGGCCCTGTGGATACTTCCTCCTGCAGACGGCAGGCGTCCCTGGGCGGTAGGGAAGGGAGAAGGCCGCACCCCACTGTGGCTGGGTGTGCTGGCGCAGGCCGGGCAAGAGAAGGAACTTTCTCGCTGCTGGGGCTTGCAGGGGCTCAGGCCCTGCTCTCAGCCTTCTGCTTCTGCCCGAGTGTCCCCCGTAGCACAGGTTTTCAACCTGCCTGTCCATCAAGCCACTCTCTCCCTTCCTCCCTTCTGCCTCTAGATCCTTTCCCCGCTTCATTTTATTGCCACCTGTCATGTCACACGGGAATGTGTTTCTTTTTTCTCTCCTGCCCTAGAATATAAACTCTGTGGAGTCAGGACTTGGTCCTTCAGGACCCCCAGTGGGGGCTCCATGAGTATGTGTTGAATGAATGGATGCATGAATAAATGAAGCTAAAAAGAATTCAGGATGAATTGCTAGTCATTTTTTTCTTTACTTTTGAAAATTATACTATCCGGAAGTACCGTACGAGGAAAAAATTAAAGCTGTTTCCCAATAGTATTCAGCAATGCAAGTGCCACAGTAGGTGAGACGTTACGAAGCTTGGAGAAACAGTTCAGCAAGTCTGAGAGTGGGAAGCCCCCTCCCTTGCCTTGTTTTGCAGGTGGGGGAAAGGTGGGGAGGGTGGCCCATACCCGGTCATTTCTCCACCTCCTCCACCTTCTGAGAAACTCGTGCTTGAGTTCCTGTTTCCAAAGTTGAGCCCCAGGATAAGGAAGCTACTTGGGAAGGAGCTGAATGTGCTCAGGATATTTCCGGCCACCCAGCTTCAGGCCAGCCGCACCCTCCCTGCAGGCCTGGCTTCCTCCTGCCAGCGCATGGGAGACCTGGGCAGGGGTGCGGGGAGCCCAGGCTTGCTGAGTCGGTGGTTGGGCCCCAGGGCAATCGGTTGGCTTGACAAGCTGCAGTGGGCGGTCAGGGGCTAACGCGACAGCAGGCGAGTTTCAGGTTGGAGCCTGATCCCAGAGCCACCAAGGGGGTGGGGAGCAGCCCTCCTTCCCTGCTGACCGACCCCATCCTGGGGCCCATGGACAGGGGCAGCTGACCCTTTGGCTTAGGCAGCACCACTGCCTGGCCTCTGACCTGCCGCTACCGCCTTGGGGCGTCAGTCTGGGTCCCGGCCTTCCTGGGGGGACAGCCTATGTCTTGGGATCCTAGGTCCCTGTAAGCAGGGCCTCCCAGAACTGATTGTTTTGCATGACAACTGGGCCCTGACAGAGCCCTGACCTCTTCCAGCCGCTTTGGTTGCTTGTCCCTGAAACCCATTGTCACTTTGGGGGATGCTGCAGGCAGGCCAACTTTCGGGGAGGTGGATAAAGACCTAATGAGAGGTTAAGGCAGAGCAAACAACCCGAGCCTGGACAGGGCACAGGTGGTAGGGGGCAGCCACCCAGCCCAGCTCCGGGCATCCCAGCCATGGGAGGAGGTCTCCAGGTGGACTGGGGGGCCACCCCCACCCCCGGAGCAGGAGTCTGGCAACTGTAAACACATCACTTCATAAAGGCAGATGGGTAAAAGTTTCTGTATGACGTTTAGCTCCCCACTCGTGACTCCCCCGGAGGCTTGCCCCAGGCCCATGGAGCAGCTCAGCCTGGGGCTCGGGGTGGAGCTCTGCTGTGGTTTCTGACCCAGGGCTGCCAGAAGGGCCCGGGTTCCAGGAGGGAAGGGTCGTTTCCTCCTCTGGCCAGGCAAGGCCTCTGGTCATGGGCGGCTCGCTGCCACCATCTTTCTGAACCCTGGACACACCATCTCTCTCCCTGTAACACTTCTCCTGCCTCCTAAGCAGGCAGGTGCTTGCATTTGCTGAAGAAAATTTGATCCAAACATCCGTAAGACCAAGTGAAGTCATTTTGACATTTGTTAGCTGAAGTAGCGTCAGTGGGGCAGCTGAGACTGGGCGGGGGTGGCGTACACCACCCTGCAGGAAAGCGTATGCAGCAGGCCTGCGCAGGGGCTGAGGAACTCGCGCCAGGCAGCAGCTGAACCCGAAACGGGGCAGGAGAGGTGGCGGCAGTGGAGACACGAGCTGCTTGTCTTTCCACATCATCTTTGGTGCCGCCCCTCCCACAACCTGCGGAGACACCTGCTGAGACTTTTTCTGATGTTCAGCCTCCTATCTGCGTGGTGTGGAGGAAAGGGTGCCCTGTGGGTGCAGGTGCTGCGTGGGGCTCAGTGGGCTGGGGCAGGGCCAGCGGTCATCCTCGTCCCACACACATTCATCGCGAGGGGAGCCAAGGGCCTTGGAGAAGCGTGGCGCCTGAATGGTCCTCTGGATCACACAGTGAGTCTCCTTCTCGGGGAGAGGACCTGACCCCAGTCAGCCAAACAAAAACACATTTGGAGGCGATTTTGAATTTCTCCTTTATTTAAAAAAAAAAAAAAAGCATTTTTCTGGGTTTTTTAAACTTCTCCAGTACCGTTTCTTTCCTGCCCCTTAGCACTTCTTCCTGGCGTCCGTCCCTCCACCTCCTGGGACCATCTGCCTGCGAGACCCAGATGAAGAAACCTTTTCGACCGTCATGATCTGGGAGCTGGAGGGGTTGAGGGTTTGAAGGAAGGTGGTTTCTGGTCAGAAGTTCATTTGCACAAAAATAGAAACTGTGGAGGGTGAGACCAGCACATACACATATGGATTGATCTACAATCCACATAAAAAAAAAATAGACCCAAATTGTCATTTTACATTTGCAATATTATACAAAATAATATATATATTTTTAAACAACATGTACCCATCTACACACACACACTCACACACACACAGGTGCCAGTAGCCCCCCTCCTTCTGTGTGCGAGGACAGGGGTGTCAGTAGGCAAAGATGACGTGGTAGGTGACCTGGTGGCCATTGTCCCAGGCGTAGAGCAGGCGGTCCTTGGGGTTGTAGTCTATCTGGGTGGTGTAGGAATACTCGTTCTCAAACAGCAGCCTGGGGACGATCTGCGTGTTGGTGTGGGTGTCGAAGGCATAGGAGATGTTGGCGTTGCGCTGGTTGTAGCTGTCCACGGCGTACAGCACCCCGCAGATGACAAAGCAGTTGCCGTAGAAGTTTCGCCGGAGCCCCGTGCGCCACGTGGTTTCCTTCTGCGTGCTCAGGTCCACGGCGTTGAGCTTGCTCAGGACGATGACTTCCTGGCTGAAGCCCTCCTCATCCATGGCTGGGTAGATGAGCCACAGACCATTCTCATCCACGGCAAAGTCCACATCCGAGTGGCCCTGCCACCGCCAGGGCGTGGCCTCCTCATAGGCCACGTCGTGGAGCATGGCCCAGGCGGCCACATAGCGCTGCTTCAAGTCGTACTTGATGATGTTGCGGGTGAAAGCACGGTTGTAGTAGAAGGCGCCGCTGTACACCACGTGGCCCGTGCCGATCCAGCTGTACGGCAGCTTGTAGGAATTGCTCCAGCGACCTGCGGCAGTGAGGGGACAGGCTTCAGACTGTGGCCAGGGACAACCTGCCAACCAGGGTGGCGGTGGCTCGTGGGATGGGATAAGCAGGCGGCTGGGGGCCTGGAGCCCCGGGCCTGTGTCTGGGCTCTGCAGCAGGCGGCTTCAGCTTTGAGGGCCTGGCCTCCTCTCTGCCACAGAAAGGATGCCTCCTGCTGTCCCCACCCAGCTGTTCCAAGGAGCCGGGGGGCCACCCTACGTGAGCACAGTCTGTGAACTGCCAGGGGCAGTGGAAAGGGCGGCATTTCTCTGCTGCCTTCTGGACTGGACTCCAGGCTGCCCTTGTCCCCAGAGCCTGGGGAGGGACCCTGGGAGCAGGGAATGTGAGGGTGTGAGAGCGGTGTGGCCCTCCCAGTCCGTCTGCACCCAGAGACCTGGCCATGAATAAAACCCAGGGAAATGGGAAGGAGGACACCACAGAGCTGGGCCCAAAACGTGTACCTTGTTTGAAGTTCTCCAGGTTCCGGAACTCCACCAGGGTGTTGCCATAGTAATAATTGGTCACATAAATCCGCTCATCTTTGGCCAGCGGGTCCTTCATCCAGGCCCCCTCATTCCGCCCGTAAGTGTTCTGTGTGGTCGGCCCCGTGATCGTGGAGAGGGTGTCCTTGCACCTTCCTGAGGGCGAAGAGGTGGGTGGAGGGACAGGATGACGGCAGAGTGCCCGCAGCCAGAACCTTCCCGGCTCCCCCTGGTCTGAAGCCGGCAGAAGCCGACCACACATTACCTCGGCATCACCCCTGTGCTCATCTCATCCTTCAGGCACCCTAGTCCCACAGGCCCACCTGCTGTCGCCACCTCACGCCACTGAGCTCTGCTCCTGCTGGCCTCCATTCTACAAACTCCAAAGCCCTTTTTGACACCATACCCGCCTTTGAAAAATCCGCTCTCTCCTCTCGGACCCCATCCTGCTCCCAGAGTTCCGTGACTGCACCTCTCCCAGGACGTGGCATTGCGCACCTCAGAGACGCGTGCACCTCTCCCCTCCCTCCGTGCCCACTCCACCCAGAGCACGAGCACCACGGGGGCCACAGGGTCTGTGCCTTTCCTGTCCTCCCCTCCGCCCTTGGGATTCTGTGTCTGGCACACGGTAGGCCTTGAGCAGACATTCTGAATCTTGGATGAACACATGGCAGTGTGAGAGATGTGACTGGACCGGAGGACTCTGCCAGGTATGACCAGGAACACGGAGGTCCTCCGGCTGCTGAGCTGCCTGGAAGAGCTGGGCCCAGGCTGTCTGAGGCCAGGTCACCTGCAGAGATCAGCCCTGACCCAGCAGTGGGTATTCATGCCCCTGAGGCCCACCTGCTAGTCCTTGAGAGCTGCCCTCAGGCCTATGATCCTGTCACTCTGTGGGCAGGATGCCAGGGTCCCCTTCTGGGGAACTGGAGGGGCAGGGGACCAAGCCCCCCATAAGGACTTACTCTGGCTGTAAAAGCCCCTTCTAAGGTCAAGTCTGCCTTAATGGGACAGGAACTCCACAATGTCCTCCTGAGGGGCTTTTTGTAGTGACCTGGTGCCCAGGAGAGGCCCTAAAGGCCACTAGAACCATGCTGGATTCCAGACCAAGTCGAAAGCCTGCATTGCTTATGCAATATTATTATTGAACGTGACCCTCAATGATGCTGAAATCACATGTGCCAACTGAGGCCACGTGCTCTTTCTGTCCCTGCAGTGGTGGGTTAGGGAGAAGGTGGGAAGAGGGCACTGGAGAGGGGGTGAGGGAGCAGCAGGTGAATCCATTCCTCCCAACTAGCCCCCACTCCTGGCAGCTGGGACCAGCAAACACCTCCCACCTGCCTTCAGGACAGGTGCACAGGTGGGAAACAGTGATGAGAATGATGGGTGCCTGACGTTCACGTGGGTAAACCAAAGGCCTGCTGTTCAGGTTCGGGGCTGAATTCCAGGCCACCCTCATTTCCAGATTGGTCCAATCTGGCCCATCCTTTCTGCTCCCCCTTTAGTGGTCCAAGGAAGGGGTTCAAACTGGCAGGACAGGGCAGGCACTGTGCCTGTGGCCCCCAGGCGGAGGCAGCTGGAAGTGGGATGAACGTTGTTTCGCAGGCAGACCACAGAGTTGGATGCAATTGACAGGGGTCAGGCAGCTCTGGGGGGTTTATGAGGTCCTGGTCCCACACAGTGGGGAGAGATTTGGACTCCCTAAGACAAGCAGCAGAAGCTACCAGCCAAAGCCTCATTCCCCCACAACTGAGCTCATCCGTTCAAAGCAATAAAATAAAAGTTTCTGGCTGAGCCTGGCCTGCCGAGGGTCTGATGGAAGGTGTGTAGGGAAAACGGAAGTTCCACGGCCAGGATTCTCCCTGGACCCTGGTCGGCTGGCCCACTGCGCACGTGCAGTGCTCACAGGTGCAGCCTCGCACACGTGTGGACGGCGGGCTCTCACTGTCGTGTAACGAGCTCCGCCCAGCGCTGCGAGAGGCCCCGCGGGCAGAGACCAGCTCGCTGCCTGCAGACCTGCCCCGAGGCGGACGGGGTTCTAGCGCTTGACCTGCCACCATGAGAACAAAGCTGGGTATAAACCCTTTTACCCTAAGAACGTTCCGCTGTCATTTCTTGGTCTCCCTGAATCCAGAGTGAACTTTCCCGGGGTGGAAACCCTCAGACGTGACAGACGTTTCACTCCCTGGCGCAGAGCGGGGGGCCTAGTGCCCGCGGAGATGCCTGCTTCCTCTGCACTGAGGTGAGCCCTAGTGTGCCAGCCCCGGGGAGGGCATCTTTATGGCCCCTTCCCCTGGCAAAGCTTGTCTGAGGCAGACCCCAGCCCCTGCCCCAGAGCCCCGCAAACGGCTGTGGGAGGCGAGGGTTTCTGTTGAAGGGTCGCCACAGCTGTACCACCTCTCTGACCAGACACGGGCCTGCCAGTCGGCTCCTGGAAGCCTGGGCTCATCTGAGTTTGGATGTAGGAGGTCACCCTAGACAGCCCCCCGAGTCCCTCCATGGCCCTGTCTCAGCACCAGGTGGGGCACAGAATATGCTCAGGTTTAGAGCCCGAGGCCTGGCTGTGGTGGCCCTGGCCCTGCTACTGACTCCAAAGTCTGTTTAATCCAAATGTCACAGTGGGACTGACGTGTGGCTTTAAAGCACTGGAAGACAGGTTCAAGGGAGGTCGGGAAAGCACAAGGACAGACCCATGCCCGCAGCGTGAGACCTGGGGCCTTTCAGATGCCCCCCCGCTTGGCCACCTTGGAGGGAAGACACCGCCTCTCTCCACGGGTAATGAGGGACAGGGGAGGCTGTGCAGAGGAGCTCCTAAGAAGAGAGCTGTGTGCACTCCTCTCGGAGATTCGCCCCAAGCAAGGTGACCGGATAGCGAATGCTTATTACACACTATGTGTCAATTCATTCAGTCATCAATAGTCCTGGGAGGCCGTTGGCCCTGTTTCAAAGGTTCCCAGGGTCTGAAAAGAAGGGGCTCTTGCCCTCAGCATATCCACCTGCTCAAATCTCACCTTCTTAAATCAGCAAACAAGGCCCCCCCCCGGGGCTCACTTGGCAGGCCTCCCCCAGGGCGGAGGGAGCATCTGCTCCTGTCACCCATGATGCCACCCACATGCTCCTCAGCCCTCACCTGGCTGCTGCCTTACCGCTCACGCGCTGCCATGGCCCACCTGGGCACCCACCCACCTCAGGTCCCTGCCCCCCTGGGCATTGGTGCCCCTTTCTCCTGGCCCCGCCCATCTCCCAGACACGCCTCCCTGGCTCTATGGCTGGTTTCTCTTTCCTGCCCACTTTTCAAATGCCTCCCGTCAGAGCTCCGCCTCCAGCCAGCGCTTCTCATGCCTCCTGCGCTCGCGGGCACACTCAGCTCTTCCTGGCGACCCTCAGCCCTGAGCTTGCACCTGAGCACAGTGCAGCCACCCGCCTACCAGCCGTCTGTCTCCAGTGTGTCCTCCTGGCTACTCAAACTTAACTGATTAAAATGGAATTCATTTGCTTAGGGTCCCACCTGCTCCTGTACTTCCGGTCCTGGAGAAAGGCGTGGCACACCACCCACTCACCAAGCCAGCAGGCTGGGCTTCCCTGATGTCCCTTCTCCCTGCCCACGAACACCCTGCTCACTGGCCCCTCTGCCCTCCCCTCCACCTC